CCAACCCCTTTGCGCCAAGCCCAGGCTCAGCTTACTGTTCTGGCCTGGAGGGGTCCTTAGGCGAGTGGGATCTGGGAAAAGCAAGGCGGTGGCTATCAGAGAACCTAGTTTTCTCTAAGCTGCAGATATTTGACAAAGATAAAGCCTTGCGTCGTTCTTTGGTCTTCATGCCCTTGGCCTGGGTTTCCTCAGCTGTGAAGAGAAGACAGTGGCAGCTGCCTTCTGTGCTAGGGAGTGAGAGAAAAGAAAGATCTGCGGAGGTACTGTGAGACTTCACTTTACAAATTGCTGATGAGAGTAATAGCAGCTCATCTTTTTTAGTGTTTTCTTCCTATTGGGCAGTATTTTAAGCGCTCTGAAGACGTTCTCTCCCTTAATCTTCACAAAAATGTTTTTTCTGGTTGGTATTATTGTGACGTTCCCCCCCACCCTGCCATTTTACAGTTCAAGAAACTGAGGCTCAGAAAAGTTCAGTAACTTGCCCAGTGACAAACTGTTAGTGAATGGGTGGAGCCAGAACTGATCCAGGGTGTCAATCTGATTCTAGAGCCTGAATTCTTTTCACTAGGTTCTTCGTCCAATACATATTAGCTACTATTTGTTGAACCCCTGCTATGTGTCAGGAACTGGATATAATTTATCTTATACTGCCCTTTAGCGAGGTGTTGTTAATTTCCTTGTTTATTAATTTAATTTAATTGATTAATTTATTTGTTTTTTTTGAGTTGGAGTCTCACTCCGTCGCCCAGACTGGAGTGCAGTGGCTGCTCCTGGCCACCGCAGCCTCGACCTGCTGGGCTCCAGTGATCTTTCCGCCTCAGCCTTCCAAGAAGCCGGAACTACAGGCGCGCGCTACCACGCCCGGCTAATTTTTTGATTTATTGTAGAGATGAGGTCTCACCAAGTTGCCCAGGTGGGTCTCGAACCTGCGGGCTCAGGCAATCCACTTACCTCAGCCTCCCAAAGCGCTGGGATTACAGGCTGAGCCACCGAGCCTGGCTATTTATTTTATTTTATTTGTTTGAGGTGAAGTCTCACTGTGTTGCACAGGCTGGAGTGCAGTGGCCCGCTCACAGTTACTGTAGCCTCGACCTGCTAAGCTCACGTGATCCTTCTGCCTCAGCCTTCCAAGTAGCTGGAACTACAGGTGTGTGCCACCATGCCCAGCTAATTTTTTG